GCTCTGTAGGTTAATTTTAGGTTGCGCTAAAAAAATTTTTATCTGTTCGGTTATTCTAGGGGAACTTGAGTATTGTCGAATTTATTAGGGCTTTTTGGTCCATTTCCCGAAACCCTTAGGTCTTATCGCCTTTCCGAAAATGATAGCTTACCTTTTTAGCGTACCCAAAACGACATTTTTAACAATCCGAAGACAACAGACATTAAATTTCTCATATCACGAAAGTCCGAGGTGACAACTCTCTTCAGAAAATCAAAGGGCATTAAAGACCTTCCGAACAGATAATTTACCGAAACGATCCGTTGGGTGCCCCTGATATATATATACATATATATATACTATCTTAGTTCTTATGTACAGTTGATGTGATGTCTTCCAAGATTTTATCAACTTAATAAATGTAGATGTAGATGTAGATATATTTTAACTAGCAAATTCAGTCGAACCCCGTTAATACAGAAAACGTAAGGGCCACAGCTATTGTCTAAATTAACCAAGGGGGAGGGGGGTGTCCGTATTTATATTCGGACTTAAGAACAACAACTGCTATAGCTAAGGACCGAAACCACTTTCCTTTAATCATAACTAGCTGTCTGTATTAGCGGGGCTCCGTAAAGCGTAATGTCACGTTACTGTAACTCAGAAACGTTCTTAATCACAAAAATGAGTTCCGCTGTCTATCACTGATCAATGCATGCAAGTATTGGATCTGTAAGCTAATAAAAGCAATATATACATTTATTCAATATACACGCTGTGCACTTTTTTGTTTCGATCCTTATTTCCCAGTACACCACCTGATATGGAGTGAACACTTTTCGCAGTAAAATATATTTGATTTACGATCAAACTGAACATTTTTTGGCTTAGTGTGGACGCGGTACTGGTTGTCTATCCTAAAAAAAAAACATGCAAGAATTTCACATTTGCCTGCTCCGCTCCAACCCCTACAAAAGAATCACTTAGAAGTTAAACCTAACAGCTCAAAATAAATTTGTTTCCAACAATTACATGATAAGCCCATCTTTAACTATATATGAGACAAAATTCATGATTGGTTTTCGTTTTACTTCAGTCTGATTGGACGAGAAAATGGTGCGAGTTTTCTAAGCCAATCACTGTGCATAGTGAATACAAACGAACGCGAGCTACGTTTTTAATTCCGCATAGTAAATTGTATTAATGTAGATAGAGGACCACCCTAATTAACTTAGTGTTAGCTTGGTGATATCCTCCGTAAATATTGTTTTTATCATTATTATTACTATTTTCTACACTCAGATAAAAGCGCTAACTGCTAGATTATCACCCGCTAATCACTTAAGCAAATTTCTTACTTAGAGATCGTCAAGACAGCTAAATGTCAAAGAAATCCACTGACCTTTGAAAAACAATTATAAACTTCTCTTGTTTAAACCGAGAAAATTCTTGAAAGCTTAGATATGCTCGGAAATCACGCTAAAGGCAACAAAACCGATATAGTTGCTCCTTTAAAATCAATTGATAGCACGTGGCTGCCCTTAGAGTATTATGTTTCAACTCCTGGCAGAGGTTTTTTCTCAACAATAAATCTATGGTCGTTTATCTTTACTACTCACGTGAACTGCTTTAATTTAATTCCGTCTTTTGTTATATAATAAAACTTACTTCAGGTAGAAAAACGTTTACAGTAATACTAGGTTTCTAATCAGATCTAGCTCTTACAACGGCAAGAGAGTGTAGCTACTCATCCTAACCAAATACAGGGTTTTCATTGGCAAACTCGTTGCATTTTCTTGCAGGGGAAAACGCCCCTCGAGGGAAACTAACATTTCATTCTANCTCAACAATAAATCTATGGTCGTTTATCTTTACTACTCACGTGAACTGCTTTAATTTAATTCCGTCTTTTGTTATATAATAAAACTTACTTCAGGTAGAAAAACGTTTACAGTAATACTAATTTTCTAATCAGATCTAGCTCTTGCAACGGCAAGAGGGTGTAGCTACTCATCCTAACCAAATACAAGGGTTTCCCGCAAGTTTGCCTTCTTTGGGGCATGTCCCCTCGGGATATGTCCCCTCCCCGCCCCCCCGTCCCCGAATATTTTGATGCTTTGAAACGCCATTTGAGAGTTCGGAAAATTGACCGTAATTTATGTGCTTGTTTTTTTGTATACCTGAAGAAACAAGAAAGGAATCATTGGCAAACTCGTTGCATTTTCTTGCAGGGGAAAACGCCCCTCGAGGGAAACTAACATTTCATTCTACACCATATATAGGAAGAAATATAACTGACCTGGGATTTTTTTAAAAAAAAGTTGTAGGGGCCCAGAGAGACCCTGGCCAGAGAAGAGGTACGTCAAAATTCCCCCAGGGGAGGCAAAATAACTCTCCAGGGTTGGTTTCATCAGTTCTGTTACAGAGAGGTGTCACATCCTAATTAAACAAACATGACATTTAAAAATAAAACCCTAACATAAATATGAATCTATTTTGAACAACCAAATAATAGCCGGTCAGTCTCATCAAAGTTGAAAGAGGGGAATGACTATGAATCCCGCAAAAAATCAAAGGAAAAAACAAAGATGCCAAGATTTATCAGTTTTGGATGGTCCACGCCTACGTACAATCTTTTGTTTTTCGTCATACACTATGCATGAATTACGTAACCAAAACGTTTCTGTTGGTTGGTTCCTCAGTCAGTACTAAACAACTATTATGTTTTGTGCTCAGTCAAGGTAAAAAAAAGAGAACAAAAACATACAACAAAAAACGTTGTCGGGTTTCATAACCATTCCCCTCTGTTAGCCACAGTCTCATCTTTTTTTTGAAAAGAACAACTAAATTTTCACTCAAACAACTGAAGGCGATGGTTAAGCCATTCGCATACAACAATTCGGCCATTACTTAGAACTGCTACAGACCGCGGGGAACCAAATTCTCCTAAATTACTGCCCTTTGTTCCAAACTTACCAACAAACTTCCCATTCAGTTCGAACACTTGTATTCTATTATTACCTGAATCACA